CTCTCCACTCTCCATCATTAGCACCCGAGTAGCTGGTGGCGGAGACCTGACAGCTTTATCACCCAAGCTGCCAGAATTTACAAAGCCACCTTTAAATTCACGGCAGTGCCTGTACACAGTCTTATAACTCCTGCAGCTCCTGGGTGAAAAGGGAAATTAAATGGAGCTGTGAAAACTGAAATGTCCTGATGAGTTACCATCTCACACTTTAGATGACAGCTCCAGAGACATTTACAGGGAGAGAAAAAAAAACCTCAAAATCTCGGCCTGCATTAGAAGTATAATTTCTGTAGGTTTTTTTTCCAGGAAGGTAAGCAGTTATTGCCACTTTCTTACTTCTGTCTTATATATGCCATTAAGCAGTGCATGGCAGCTTCACTGAGAATGAAGCCAAGAGCGCACATCCAGAACCACATCCAGACTGGCTTGAAATCCAGCCCCTCCATCCTCCTCTGGCCTGTTTAAAACAGCAACTGGGCACAGTCATAGTTATTTATTTTCCTGCCTTGTGTTTCCTCCAGTCCTTTTTATCAGGCCATAGCTGAACAGTTCCGAAACCCAATTTTTCTGCTTCCATGCTATAGTTTTACATCAACTGCTACAAGCATGACTGCCCAGCACACGTATAGAACAACGAAGAATCACACAAATGTACTTTTGCACTCTTTTCTTCCAGCCCAGGGTGTCCTTTAGTGCCCCTGGTACAGTCTCTTTGCAGCTGGTAGGGCAGTGAGGAGTCAGCATGTCTGGTTTTGAAGGCCCACCAGTCCTGCCAGATGTCCTGCACGGCTCCTGGGAGTCTGGCTGCAACATCAGTTAAAACAGTAACCAACATACAATGGCAAAAATACATGGTGATCTTCCCAAATGTAGTGTATTAATTTAAAAGGCTGATCTGGACCACCAGAAATCAAGTTGATGTGGCTTGACAGGGCTGAAAAATAAACCCATGTCCATCATTTTTTCTACAGGGGTTACCATAGCCACGTGGTGATCATACACTCAGAAGCAATCGACAGCCTACGGGATTAATACTCACAACTATGCAAATCTGACCCTCTCTTAAATGTATGATTTCCTAAAATGTCAGATCTCCGGCTAGTGCCAGCCTAAAGCAAGTAAACCCCTGCCTAAAAATGCCACTGATTTAGAGGAAATATCATCCATCTCGACAATGGCAATAATACTGCCTTTCCTTTGAATAGTGGATCCTCGCGAGGAAGAGATGGTGAAATCTTTCAGTCCGCATCACGTGGCCAAAGTCCACACAGTAACTTCTGTAATCCAGACCTACCATTGCTAGAGTTCTCAGAGAATCCAGCAGTCTGCTTTTTATGTTGTTTATTGTGTAAAAAGATGTAAAATCTTTCAGAAGTGGTGCTAAGACTGTAACAATACTTTGATAATTTAAAACATATGAATTTTACTTGGACGAGTGGAAGCCATAGGGCAACAAGAGCTGGCAGAGGCAATACAAAGTACCTTGGTGATGACAAAGAACAACAGTTCTGGTACTAACTGGCAGTAACTGGTGGCTGTGCCTTGAGCTGAGGTAGGATTTAGTATATTAGCACTGAAATAAGGTGGAGAAAACTGCACTTGAAAATAAATCCGCAGTGCAAACACTTAAACTATTATTAGGATCAAATTCTCCTCCCAGTGACTTCACAGAAAATCTGGCTTCCCTAAATGACAGCCTTTGTCCTACCCCTCTTGCAATGTGAGACTTGCCAAGTGACAGCCTGGAATTTACAGGAAGTGTGTTATTTCAAAAATCAAAGAAATCAAAGATCGAGTGATTCATCAGGGCTTGAAAGTAAAAACTATATAATACCCACTGTGCAGCAGGGGTTCTGAACAGAATAGAAATGAAACTTCGGTGCAGGGAAACACTTTTTTTTAATCTTTTTTCGCTTTTTTCTTTTCTTTTTTTTTTTTTTAATAATATGGTCCATAGTTGGTCTCAAGAGAGGTCTGCAAAGAAACTTAATTTCAAAGGAGCAGAAGTGAGTAACAGCCTGTGAAAACAAGCAGCCCATCAAAGACAAATGTGCTAAAGAGTTGGTCTCCAGAGAGGTCTGCAAAGAAACTTAATTTCAAAGGAGCAGAAGTGAGTAACAGCCTGTGAACACAAGCAGCCCATCAAAGACAAATGTGCTAAAGAAGAAAAAACAAGTCAGACAGCTCAACAGACTGTGATTTTCAGTCCCCAAAGCAACTCTCAACCAAGCAAAACAACTCTTCCTTTCCATCAGGATATTACCATATTAAACAAACCACACACAATGTGGTGATGCAACTCAGCTCTACTCTTCTCCAGCATAAGTGTAAACTTGCAGAAAACAAATGCTGACCCGCTAACACACCTTACTATCGTGACAGTTCCTCTTTTCCAAAGGGAATGGTTGGTTATTGTACACCACGAATGGAATCTAACCCAAACGGAGTGTACCATCTCCTTCTAAACCAAAGCATTATGTAACTCTTAATTAATGAATTATGACAGTGTAGTTGACAACAATCTCACTGTAAAGTTTTTTTCCAGCTTTGTGGGTAAGCTGTATTAGCAACGGACCCAGGAAGAAAGGTATTTGTTGTTCTGCTGTTCTCCCCTGGGGAAGCTCAAAGCCTCTTTCTGAAAGGGAAAGAACAATTCTACAGAGAAAGTGATGGGTGGAGCAGCGGGGAGAAACTTGGTGCTGTAATAACTTGGTGCCAGGCTTGGATATTTGGTATTTAAGCTTTAAATTATACTTCAAAAAGACAAATACTAATTGATTTGAATCATGCAGGCTGGCAGGGACCTCGGGAATTCTATAGGCCAACCATCCTGCTCAAATCAGGGTCAAACACGAAGGCAGAGCAGGTTCCTCAACATTTTAACCAGCTTGATACCTCCTGAGGAGGCCTGACACCCTCCACAGACAGAGACTGCACAAGAGACTGCAGAGAACGTGCTCCAGTTCCTGGCTGGCCTCATGGTGGGAAAGATTTTCCTTACACCATTCTGACTCTTTCTTGTTTCAGCTCATGCCTGTTGCCTCTCACCCACCCACCATACACCACTGGGAAGACCCTGGTTCCTTCTCCTCTGTGGTCTCCTCGTAAGTCTGGTGGCTGCTCTTAGGTTCCCTCAAAGCTATCTCTTCTCCAGGCTAAGTCAGCCCCAGTCCCTCCAGTTCTCCATAGGGAAAAAGCTCCAGGCCCATCGGTCTTGGTGGCAGCTGCTGAACTCACTCCAGTTAATCAAGTCTTTCTTGTACTGGGAGACAAGCGCCAGTCTGGAAGGTGAACTCTTAAAAATTGTAAAATATTTTATTTCTGTAAAATATAACCTTATAAATAAATTTTCTCGAAATGAAACCAGCTTTGCTAGGAACTGGCCATCATGAAGAGGAAGACAGTAGAACACTGACAACAGTTAAAATAACATGCTTTTATTCTGCTATTGGAACTGCATCTTCCCTTCAGAAACTTGCAGAACTGATGGGTAGTTTCACTTTAAGTGCTAAGAGTAAATTAAAGGCATCTACTAATTATTGTAGTTTAATCCCTCATATATTAGTGACAAGATAAGAACCCTACTCATTGCCATGGTTGATAATGATTTCAAATCAAAACTGAATCCCCAGCTAGAAAAGTTCCTTGTTCATTCACTAGCATCTGCAAAATCATATCATCTATGGCATATAATCTATAAACTATGTTGTAAGAAAAAAATGTGATCCCATTGCTCAGATACAGGAAGACTAAACAAAGGGACTAGTGTTCAGGCACTTTGTTTTTACCCGTTTCCACAAAGTGATGAGAAGTTGCTGGCAGATGCAAAAGGTAGCTAGTTAATTCTGAAACTAAAAGATAACAGGCTTTTCAAAATCAATACTGAAAGTAATATAAATTTAATGCCAAACATCCCTATTCTTACGCTTTCCTCCGAAGTTGGAACTTCTTTTTAAAATGCACTAAAAGAAGTATTTGGAGACCTTCACCCATAGTTGACAAACAGGTTCAAACAATAATAAAACTGCTTCAAAGCAGTATTTCTTGAAGATGAATTAGCAGCAACCTTTAAGAATTAATTACTGTTGAAACAGACCACCTCCTTGTGCATGGCTGACAGCACCAGCATGCACCAATTTCGGGATTTGCAGATGTTCCATACCTCTCAGATTAGCCCCATGGCAATAAATGAATGCAGAGCATTTCAATGAAAAAAAAAAAAAAAGAACTAGGACATAAATCTAACAGCCAAAGGAAGACTACAAGAAGCCACAGAGGCTTATAGAATCATAGAATGGGTTGGGCTGGAAAGGACCTTGAAGATCATATGGTTCCAACCCCCTGCCATGGGCAGGGACACCTCCCACCAGAGCAGGTTGCTCAAAGCCCCATCCAGCCTGGCCTTGAACCCCTCCAGGGATGGGGCAGCCACAGCTTCTCTGGGCCGCTTGTTCCAGTGTCTCACCACCCTCACAGGAGAGAGTTTCTTCCTAATATATAAATCTCCCCTCTTTCCATTTAACACCATTCCCCCTCGTCCTATGGCTCCACTCCCTGATCAAGAGTCCCTCCCCATCTCTCCTGTAGCCCCTTTAGGGACTGGAAGGGGCTCTACGGTCTCCCCCCGTTGTACTCTACTGCCGCCATTTCCTGCAACAACAACAGCGGGGAGAGGAAGATGGATAGATCGAATCCCGTGATTTTCACACAAAAAAAATGAATTTATGTTGCACAGAATCGTGAATTACAACGCCATCCCCCCGCCGGCAGGAACCGGCGGCCGCCAAGATGGCGCCTCCCTCTGCCCCGCCCTCCCTCCCCGCCGCCCGGCCTCTCGCGGGACCGCCGCCCTCCGCCCCTTCCCCTCAGGCCCGGAAACCGGGGCCGCGTGTGTTCGTCGCCGCTGCCGCCATGGAGTACATGACGGGGCCGGCAGCCCCCACCCAGGGCAACATGTAAGCGGCGGGCGGGCTGGCTCCGGGGCGGCGGGGCTCTGTCGGCCGGGCCTCGGCCTCAGGGCGGCCCGCTGCCGCGTTGGCGGGGGGGAGGTACCGGGGCGGCCATGAGGCCGGGGCGGGTGAGGGCTCTCCTGGGCCACCGCTTTTCTTTAAAAAACCTCCAAGTACAGCTTAAGTAAAAGGTACGCGTACCTTCGGTTCCCGTGGTTGTCACCCCTGAGGTGACACGTTGCTGTTCGTGACTGACTTTTCCTTCCCTGTGTTCCAGCCTCTGCTGCCAGTGCGGCGTGGCCATCCCGCCCAACCCGGCCAACATGTGCGTGGGCTGCCTGCGGGCCCAGGTGGACATCACCGAGGGCATCCCCAAGCAGGGCACCCTCCACTTCTGCAAGCAATGCGAAAGGTGGGCAGTCGGATTTCCCCCCCCCATCTCCGCCGCTGGTGCGGGACGGGGGGGGTGCGGGCCGTCTCAGGGGCGGCGGGTCCCTGCCGTGCGGGTTTGCGTCTTTCCCAGCACGTGCCTGTATTTCTCTTCTTCTGGAAGTAGAAAGGCGTTGGTGTGTGTGACAGAGAGGGTTGAAATGAGTGAGCTTATGGTCCTGTTGGAGCGGGTCCAGAGGAGGCTGTGAAGGTGATGCAAGGGCTGGAGCCCCTCTGCTGTGAGGACAGGCTGAGAGAGCTGGGGTTCTTCATCCTGGAGAAGAAATGGCTCAGGGGAGACCTTAGAGCCCCTTCCAGTCCCTAAAGAGGCTACAGAAGGGATGGGGAGAGACTGTTTACAAAGGCCTGTAGTCACAGGACATGGGGCAATGGCTTTGAGCTGGAGGGGAGCAGATTTAGATTGGAGATTAGGAGAAAGTTCTTTACAGTGAGGGTGGTGGAGCACTGGAACAGGTTGCCCAGGGAGGTGGTTGAGGCCCCATCCCTGGAAATATTCAAGGCGAGGCTCAATGAGGCCCTGGGCAACCTGGTCTAGTTGGGGGTGTCCCTTCTGACTGCGGGGGGGTCGGAGTAGATGACCTTTGGAGGTCCCTTACAGCCTGGACGATTCTATAAAAGAGGGGAGATTTAGATTATATATTAGGAGGAAATTCTTGACTGTGAGGGTGGTGAGACACTGGCCCAGGTTTCCCAGAGAAGCTGTGGCTGCCCCATCCCTGGAGGTGTTCAAGGCCAGGCTGGATGTGGCTTTGAGCAACCTGGTCCCTGCCCATGCCAGGGGTGTTGGAAGGGAATGATTTTTCAAGCCCCCTTCCAATTCTAAGCAGTCTATGATTCTGAAGGGAAGAAAGTGAGCAAATTGGTATGTATTTCAGTAAAAGTGTGATTGCACTTGGGATGCGTGAATCATAGAATAGAATAGTTTGGGTGGGAAGGGACCTTTTAAAGCTATTCAGTCCACCCCCCCTGCCGTGAGCAGGGACATTTTCAACTAGACCAGGTAGCTCACAGCCCCGTCCAACATGACCTTGAATGTTTCCAGGGATGGGGCATCAACTACCTCTCTGGGCAACCGGGGCCAGTGTGTCACCACCCTCGGTGTAAAAAAATTCTTCTTTATATCTGGTCTAAATCTACACTGTTTTAGTTTAAAACCATCACCCCTTGTCCTTTTGCAACAGGCCCTGCTAAAAAGCTTGTCTCCAAAATTGTGATGATTCAGGAGGCAACAGGTGTAGCTTGGTAAATAACTGCTCAACTTTTGGGTGGTTTAATTTGCTGAAGCAGCTTCATGTGCTGTAAAATGCTTCCTCTGTTGTAGGTATCTTCAGCCTCCAGGAACTTGGATTCAGTGTACCCTAGAATCAAGAGAGCTTCTTGCTTTGTGTCTTAAAAAAATCAAAGCTTCGCTGAGCAAGGTGAGTAGCTGATTCTGCTGTTTTTCCATAGCGTGTCTGTTGGTACTGCTTAAAGGGAAGTCCAGCTAACATACAGGGTTCAGTGCTTTTGGAGCAGGCATTTATACTTGTTTAGAGTTTATGAACTGATTTATATTAAATGTAGAGAATGACCTCAAATAACTTTGTTCTAGAACTTTGGAGGATTTGGTAAGGACAGGCTCTAACAAAAAATTTCTTGGCATGGTAAGGAGGCTCTTGCAGTGCCATTCTGTGACTTTAAAGCATCCTGTGTACTGCACAATGGTTACTGTATAGATGGGACTTGAGCATAGTTAACTGAAGGAAGCTAACGTTTTTAATACGCCTTAATTTTAGTTTTCTTTTTACATATTTTTGAAATGTTTATACAGTATTTGTTCTTACAGGCTATGACGATAAAAAAGAGGGTTGCAGGTGTCTATATACAGATTAAACTGAAAGTCACATGTTTAATTTGTATAAAGTATCTCTTAGGTTCAGAATCTTAAAAGAGGAAAAAATCTGAGAAAAAATTCTGAAATAATGTTTTAGGCAAAAAAATTGTTACTGCAGTCATCAAGGTTTTAAATTGGTTGCCTCATAGAGCTTCTTGCTATTAGGTTAGTGCTTTATTATACAAAATATCTTTTGATACAGTAAATTTGCATGTTCTTAGTTTTAAAGATTAAATTGGCTTTTAAGTCCCGAGGAAACTATTAAACTATCCAAATTCATCATTACTTGGCATCTGGAGATACTGTTGAATTGTGTACCCAGTTACTCTGGTGTGACAGTCTGAGGTTGCGTCACCATTATTTTAGGTAGATCAGACTGTGTTCTAACTAAGCATTGTTAATTGGGTTTGCTATAGTGATACATATGTTTTTAATTAAGGTTATTCGCTTTCTCGCTTGGTTGAAGAATTACAAATTATACCATTAGCTTGTGCTTTCTGGTAATTAGAGCTGTGTGGTTTTTTATCATGTACTCGTACAGCTGCTGGCAGCAGTAGCTGAGTTCTTGTTCATTCCCACCGACAGGTCCGGCTGATCGATGCAGGCTTTATTTGGACCGAACCACATTCTAAGAGGCTGAAGCTGAAACTGACTGTTCAGAAAGAGGTAACTGGAGCACAGTATTCTGTGTGTGGCTTTTTAAAAGCTTTTATGGAATTTTAGTATTTTTTGTTATTAGTATTGCATTTAAATAAGTGTTTTTCTCTGGTAAAATCCAGTGTGTGTTTACTGGCTTATCTTGAAAGAATATTGTTTTCACCCTAACTAAATTTTGTCATTAAAGTGCTATTCATCACAGTTTGGAAAAGGTTATCTGCTCTTCCAGTAAAGTTGGGGAAATACTACTAATATTTGTGACCCAAATATAGCTGACTTCAGAACACTGTGGTAAACTGGCTTGCTGTCTTGACAAGACTAACAGGGGAACTTTTTAAACTTTTGTTTTGCAGGTGATAAATGGAGCAGTTCTTCAGCAAGTATTTGTGGTGGAATATATAATTCAGTCTCAAATGTGTGAAGACTGTCATAGGATTGAAGCTAAGGATTTCTGGAAAGCTGTAGTGCAAGTCAGACAAAAGGTAGAGGCAAACTGAGTTTTCTTTTGTTTGTGGCAGAACAATGAGGCAGACAAATACAGGGATGATTTTCTGATTTTCTCAGAAAAAGGTGCACTCACTCTTTCACGCTGCCACAGCGATACGTTTTGTGTTCAAGCTTGTGGGTATTTTCATACTTGTCTTAGTTTCGAAAAACTGTCTCTCTGCTGTCCAGTATTATCAGCATATTCTTTTTAAATGATGGCTGGCAGAAGGTTTTGTGTGAATTACAAGGTATCCTTCTGTATTTCGTGATGGTGTTAAGACAGATTGTTTATAAATATTTAAATCTTCTTTAAAGAAAATAATATGTCTAGCCATCAGTTACACAAAAATGAGAAACAGAAGCTGAAATCTTTTTGGTTACTTGGCATAGACTTTGGACTGTTCCTTGCGTTTGCACTAGATGGTTCATAAATAACCTTGATAATTTTATCGTGGTTTTAGACTCTGCACAAGAAGACTTTCTACTATTTGGAACAGCTGATTTTAAAACACAGACTTCATCAAAATACACTTCGCATCAAAGAAATCCATGGTAGGTGAGGTGGCTTGTTAGTCTTGAGGTAGAATAGACTAACCTGGTTTATGTTGGAATAGTGCCTGTGCTAATAGCTATGTACAATACACAGGCTAAGTAATTTGCTGCTTATCTGTATTTGAAAAAAAAAAAAAAAAAAAAACATAATGCTTGAAATAGATGTGTTCATCAAGCTTTCTTTTCTTTAAGATGGTCTGGATTTTTATTACTCTTCAAAGCAACATGCCCAGAAGATGGTTGACTTCCTTCAGTGCACAGTTCCATCTAGGTATATAATTTATGTTTATTGCCTTGAATACCCAAAAGCTTTTGGGAAGTGTCTTTTAGCCTTCACTTTTAAAGAATTTTGTAAGTAAAAGTGTAAAGAAGCTATACTCTAGTTAAAACAGACGGAATTCCTTCTACAGAAGTCCTGTGTTTTCCCCTTGGCCACTGTAAAATTAACCTCATGTATTTTTCTATTGCCTTAATTTTTGGATTCAGAGTACCTAGCTATATATTTTCATTGCTGATTATCTCCTGTTTCAAGTAACGTCCTTCTTGCTGCCTGAAGCCTCTTTTTTTTGTTTCATAGATCAAAATCATCCCAACGTTTGATCTCGCATGATATTCATAGTAATGTCTACAATTACAAAAGCACTTTCTCTGTGGAAATTGTTCCAATATGCAAGGTAGCTTCTCTCTATTTCATCTTCAGGGTATTGCATGAAGTGGGTAGAGTTTGGTTTTGGTGATGGAGGCCTCATTTATTGGGTATTTCAGGGGGATGGGGAGGGGTCTACTTCTCTGGATGGAAAGTGCAGACAGCAGCTATCTTGAGGAAGTTACTGGGTTATATTGGGTGGAGAACTGCAAATATAAAGTATAAAAATCTATTTCAGATTTCTCTAAACGCTTGGTTAAAAATTAAGGAAATACAAGTGTAAATTATTTTCCATTTGTATGCAGGACAATGTTGTATGTCTGTCACCAAAACTGGCACAGAGTCTGGGAAACATGAGCCAGATCTGTGTGTGCATTCGAGTAACAAGTACCATCCACCTCATCGATCCCAGGACCCTGCAGAGTAAGTTATGGGTTCATTTCTGCCCTACAGCAGCATCTGCTTTTTCTGCTGGCACAGTAATTTCTGGGTTTTTTTGTTTTCATGAAATCTTGTGTTCTTAGACCTAAATCTTGTTAATTTATCTGTACAATCACTAACATAGAAATTTAAATTGTGATCTAAGACAGTTCTCTAAGCTTGATTTTCTTAGTTTTCTAGGCAAAATGTGTTCATGGGTGTTTAGGTCTCTGCTGAGCACTTAGATTTGTCAGGTATATTCCTCTAAAATCAGATGGCATCTAGTTTTTCTCTGGATTATGATTCTAACCCCTTCGGTATCAGAAGCACTGGTCTTTGATTGGTGTTTGCTGCTAAATTCTACCAGCAAAATGCCTCTAATAAGGACACATCCAGGAAAATGTTTCATGTGAATGAAAATGTCAGTGCTTTAGACACGTGATATGTGATTTGGCTGTCACAGATCAACTGCTCTTGTAGCACAAGTTTGCAATGTGGGTCATGTCCTAAATGCTTGTGTTAAATAACAAACTTGAACAAAATGCATTTGGCAGTTGGCACAATTTTGGCCGATGCTTCCTTTTCCTTTTAATTTCTTGGCAAGAAATTCTGTACCTTACAATTGCCCATGCTGGTGGTTTTTTTCCAGTTGCTGAAATTGATGGAAATACCTACTGGCGCCACCCTTTCAATAGCTTGTTCCACCCCAAACAACTAGAGGAATTTATCATTGTGGATATCAATAGGGTTCAAGAAAAGAAAAAAGGTGCAGGTGCAGGGGCAAGATCAAACAAGGTAAGAGTTCTCTCTGTTTGATTCAATGTTTCAGCCTTACTCTCCCCTCCCTCCCCTACTCAGCTGAATTTCTGTATTGAATGATTCTACTTGGCAAAGTCAGATGTATGCTTTTCTGTGCCTTGGTACTGGGAAAAACTCTTCTCAGAAAGATGTGGACGGTGTTTTGGTTTGGAAATTGCACGGGTGTTATGTGAATTCCACTTTCAGAAATACTTTTATGTTGAAGAGTTTAAACTCTACTTGTTACTGTTGTTACTGAAGTTATTTTATGTTCCCTTTGCAAATCTTCAATTATGCGGTTGTTTTTGTTGAAGTACAGAAGCATTTCTTTTTAATCAAAATTAATGAATCAGTATCAAACATTTTGTTTTCAGTCAAAAGCTGTATGTGCTTGAAAGTTATGAAGTACAAAAAACCCATCACTAAAAAGACCTGTCTAGTCACAGAAACAACCATAGTGGAATTCTTGTGAAAAGTGGTTGGCAGGTCCTCTTCCTTACTTTTACAAAGATAAGAAATGAGCAGTAGCAAACAATACATGGGATGCTTCCTGTAGTAGATACAAGTTAAATTACAAATGTAATTTAAAAGTGTGATATAGTAGTGCAAGTGTTCTAATCTTGATTGATTACAAGAGTGTTTTATTTTTCATTCCTCAAGCACACGCTGGCTGAAGCCTGGGTACAGAAAACCTCGGAGTTGAATACAGATCATCAGTATTTCTGCTGTACTCACTTGGGGCACATTCTGAATCCCGGCGACCTTGTCTTGGGGTCTGTTCTGTTTCTTGTTTTTTACTGAATGATTATTTAATGACTGAATTCCCTGGATTCTTTACAGGCTTATGTATTATCAAGAAGTTTTGAATCATTCTGATTTAAATGGGATAGAAACTTTCATCTTGGCCATGAAGAGATTACCTGAATAGCAGAAATCTTTTCTTTTTTATTTTTTTCCCAGCAGAAGTCATCTCCTGAAAAGGGCTGTTAGTAATAAGAGAGCTGAAGTACTGACTTTAAAGTTCAGATTGGAGTGACAGTTAAGACACAAATAGATGGGAGGGCTTTTTAAAATACCAGGCAAGATCTTCTTGTTTGATGGTGCGTATCATATATAGCAATGACAAATGTGACGTTTTTGCAAGATTAGGCAAATTAGGTGATTCTCAAACAGACTTAAACATGAATGTTATTGGAGCTGTTGTGAGTGAATCAGAAGCTCAGTGGATATTGCAGTTTGGGTTCAGGAGGCTGGGGGGTGCTACTGAACAGAATTTGGGAACAGCAGCTTCTGAGAGTTGTTCATAACTATGAGACTTGAGTGTAGATTTGGATTTTTTTATTTGCTTCTTGCTTCATTTAGAAACATTTTCTTAGGAGCTGTAACTTACACGATGCTGCTCTGTAATATAAGCATATGATAACATTGAGTTCAATATTGTAGACTTACATAAAAAGTTAGGATAAAGCACCTATTTTCTTTTTAGATTCGACTTGGCGAACTGCAACTTAAATGACGAGTTTGCCAATAAGATGAATCCCCACCATATTCCTGATGTGGTAAGACCTTTTTCTTTCTCTGTACAAAGTTCTCTGCGTTACCCGGGGCATTAGGGAGTATGATTTTATAATGAATACTCAGTAGTTTCATAGTGCCTAAAGGAAGAGGGGATATTAATATTGAAATTTGAACGGCTTCTAATTTTGAGAATTATTTTCTCACTAAAATTTTTGAGTGGTGGTTAAATAATACATTTACTTACCTTACTTTTTATTGGTTTTTGTTCAAATTGCCATGCAGTGTGTGGTGAAAACCTGTATTACAATTGCAGCGTGCGTAAGCCTCTTCGGGTCATCATGCCAAGTGTTTGGAAACATTTTAATTGACAAATGCTATTATAAATTCTATACAAAACTCCTGAGTGCCAGATTGACTTTGCCATTTGTTCAGCTGATTTTACAGTTGCCCAAGTCCAGACTTGGGTGTTGTTTTGGATTTCGAAAGAGCGTATGTGTAAATACCTGCTGTTTTTCACTGTAGATATTAATAAAGAAGAGCTATGACCGTACCAAACGCCAGCGTCGCAGGAACTGGAAGCTGAAGGAGCTGGAGAGGGACAGAGAGGGCGCGGATACAGACGATGAAAGGTTCAGTATCTCCCGTGAAGCTTTTTGGTCCCTCCTACCTTGGATCCTGTGCCAAGTCTAGAAATAACATTTTTCTGTTGAGGATAAACCCAGCGTGAAGCCCAGGCTGATGGGCTGACTGTTTTGGGGTGGGGGGCACAAGGAAATGCTGCTGGTTCCGTTTGAGCGTGCTGCTGGCTCGTAGGACAGGTTGATACCAGTGTTCCCAGAGGAGCAGATCTCTCTGCATTTTTCCCCCTTCCCTAGTGCAAGAAACACTTTAAGCACACACACCTTACATGTCCTTGTCCTGTCTTGACTGCTGACTTTTCAGGGAACATGGATACTGAGGACAGTGGGACCGAGGAGGGGTTGGAAACAGACTAAACCCTGAATTCTTAAAGATAACACTGCAGGCTTTTCAGATTTAGTGTTGCAAAAAATATTTTTATGGGTTTTTTTTTCCCCAAGAAAAGCTTAAATCATGAGACCAGTGAGTATTATCAGATGCATTGTGTCTGTAGTTTACAGTGGGTGTCTGTAGCTAAAGGGACGCTTCATTGAAAATGTGTGTCACTGGTTGGTTCAGTGACAAAGCTGATACAGCAACAGCAAATTCTAAGTAACATCCAATTGAGTAGAAAAAATGAGGCAATTGGAGTTAAATGAGGACAGGCAAATTAGATTACTGGCAGTCTAATAGGAATAGAACAGAAGTATAGAACTAATAATTTAAAAAAGCAGAAAGAATGAGTTGGACGTGTTGGAATGCTATCAGAAGGCACATGTGAAGGACTGCAGGTGGCAGTCTTTCCTTGGGGCTTTGTTTCTTTGATTTTATTTTGGTTCATAAATTTGCATAAATCCAAAGGAAAAGTGAGTAAATACATTAAACGTCCTTTACAGGCAATACCAGGACTTCCTTGAAGATCTTGAAGAAGATGAAGCCATAAGGAAGAATGTCAACATTTACAGAAGTAAGGCCTTTTTAATCACTTAGTTGCACGTAATTAAATTGTGACTATTTGAGTGAAAATATTTTTACTGAAGTTCTGTATTTGGATTCTTTGAACTGCATTTTGCCTAGAGAAATGCTGTAATGAAATAGCTGTGGGTATTCAGTGTATTTCACGTGCACTGAATCGATGTTGATGGTTTTTGCTTTACTACCTTTATCATGAGAGAGAGAAGCAAATTTTCTCCTGCACCCAAAACCTCTGCTGGGTGAAGGATTTGAAACGTAATTCAGCATCTTCCATGAGGGTAGTTGCCATGGGATAGTGGGTTTTTAGGAGGGATTTGGTTGGGTTTTGGTTGGCTTTTTTTCCTTTCCTTTCTTGGGGCTGTTCAGGGAGTTTGGGGTTTGTTTTCTTTGCTTAGCTGTTTGGTTTTTTTTTTTCTATTGTATTTTTAGATGCAGATGTTCCAGTGGAGAGTGACACAGATGACGATGGTCCTCCACGAATCAGTCTGGCTGAAATGCTAGAGGATCTCCATATTTCTGAGGATGCCACTGGTGGGGAGGGAGCAAATATGATGACAGAATAAGAATAATGCATTAATCAATGCAATAAATAGTCCTTTGGTGAGGAAAAAGTACCCAAAACATTAGTAAACATTACAAACTGATGGCATGAACATGAGAAGTAATGTGATAACTACTACTGTACCCCTTTAATAATGGTCCTGAATTCATATTTTATATATAATCTTCTAGAGAATCAGGAATTAAATTTCTGGTGTAAGCATTGCAATATGAATTCCACAAGTTTCTCCCATCCCTGAGTGTTCTCCCCGTGCAGCTTCTGTGGTATAAAGGCCTCAGCTGGGCAACAGCAGGGTTATACAGCAGGAGGAATCATTGTCTTGTGCTGAAGACAGCTGGTCAGAAGGATGTCCAGAGGGAGAGATTTTATTCTAGTTTGCTAGATTTGTAGGTAGAGTACCTACCTACTATTTATTGATTTCGTTTCTTCACATGGGAAGGATTTTTCCTCTCTTAATCTTTTGGGTACCATGATTTGAAGGTTTTTGTGAGACTGCTAGATTATTCCATATAGCAGTATTTTGGGGAAGCTCAAGAATGTATCTTCTCTTCCTTTGGTAAGGGAACTCCCAATACACATGTGTACACAAAAAACTTTCCCTATAAATTCATTGAAGATGCAGCCCATGATCAGAAAGATTGGAAACTTCTGTTAAGTGTAATAAATATTGCATTCTACTATATTCCTTGCCTGTATCAGCGGATTAAAAGCAATATGTGTAATGTGTAATTAATACACCAGCTACAAACTATTAAAAACCTATACAGATATTTTTGGCTCATCATTATTTAGTTAACTTCAAAAGCAGATTTCTCTCTAACGCAAACCCAAAAAGGACAGACGTGGTGCAGGAGGACGTTACATACTTTTATTCATCTGGATTTAATTCACTTTACTGCACAAAGGTGATGCAACAGAAATTTTACTAAAAGTTTATGTGCGTATGCATTTGTCTTAACTCTATAAATATGGAAGCACAGCATAGCACGAGTGGTTTGCCACTGCGTTTTTTTAAACTTCAGGAAAAAAATGTTCAAAATAAATGGTACATGTAAATAAGGAGGGAAATAATAATAATATAAAGTTGGGGAAAAAAAAGAGATGTGTAGGAATCATCTAACAGGGTATTAATGGTTATCAAAGATCTGTATAGCTGCAGTGAGAACACTTCACATAGTTTGTCACCACTTGTGTGGTCGGAAGAGACATAACGGGGCTGAAAATCTGCTATTTCTCTGTAGCCTCAGCTGAGGAGGTGTCAGGAGCACCTTCCTCTGTTTCACTGTACATTACAGCTTTTCCAGGCATCAAACAAAAGAAATTATCAAGGAGTTTGCAGTATTCAGCCCACTGCCAGGTAAGAGATTCTATTTTTTCCCCCTTCTTCTTTAGTTTAAATGTAATCTTTTGGCCATTTCCACACAGGTGTGAGGGCTGGATTTCAGGCTCCCTGTCTCAGCCCAGGCCAAATGCCACAGAAGGCAAAGGTAGTTTTGATTGTAAAAGATGGAGCAACGTTTAGTTACCAGTTTTTTTCTTTCTTTTTTTTTTTTTTTTTAAATTCTGTCTCACAACCTTGTAATCATCCATTTGGAAAGGGGGGAAAACTGGAAATTTGGAAAAGCAGTTTTGATGTAGCAAAGCTCTAATCCCACTATTGGCGTTAGCGGCTCAGCCGTCCCTTAGTGCCGTCTCTCGCTGTGTATTTGTGTCACACAAAGCTCTTCTGCTTCCACTCTCGGGAGCTTTGTCGTATTTTTTTTTACTGTGTAGAAGAGCAGTTAAGAAAAATCCATAAAGCTGCTGAGAACTAAAGATACAATTTATCTCGTGACAGTAATTTAGTTCAGTATAGGGAAGGCATAAAACCGTGCTTAAAAAATATTCATGAGAATGCAGCTGCATAGCTAAACTGAATTATTGCTACAATAAAACGTTTTATTAGACGTATTTTACAGTAGCTACACCTGCCAGTAGTGCTGGGGAGATGCAGATAAACGCATTTCTAGTGACCATTGGGCCAAATCTGTGGAAATCAAAGAATTTTAATTTGCAAGCTGTAGCCAGTGAACGCGTCTGTGTCCGCACGAGATGTGTTTTGGCTTGTGATTTTTCTGACAGGTAAAAATGATCAAGCCTTTGTCTTACACGGTTTGGTAATAAACTTCCTGGTGGTGGCAGGTGAAGGATGAGTAATAAAAGCTTGTTTAAAACCGTGCTTTTTGATCAATCCTTTTCCTTCCTCTCTAGTGTTTTCCTTCAGAGTGTCTCAGGAATTTCAGAGGTACGGCTGTCTCGTCTGTCATCCTGTTTGTTACTTGGAGACGTCTCTCTTCTTCCTGTCCCTTCCACGGTCTGTTGCCAGTCTGTATTGGGTTTCAAGTTATCTTTCAGCAAGAGTCTTGCCGGAAAGATCTCATGCTACGGATACCGGGCAAACAACTCATAAATCTAAGTATATTGCTTGGCTTTTTGTGCATTTGTTTGCTGGCTGGTAACACATAGTAACAGCTCTCCCGTGAGCGGGTAAAGCTGTGTGTGCTGGAAACCAAAGTTAGTTCTAATTTTAGGTTCTTTAGTTTATGGTGTCCCTTTAACATTTAAAGAGTTGGGAGGCAGAAGAGGCTTAACTGATGTGCTGGCAAATGGAATGTTTGCCAAGGTCTTCTCCCTGAAACCGGGTAAGTAATTTGACAAAAAGTACTTAATTCACAGTAGATAAAAGGCTGCCACTTACCCTGCACCTCTTTCTGAAGCTTCTTCACAGCTTAAAAGCTCCTCTCCTTTTATATATACAGAAGTTGCTTCAGGATTTTAAGTCATAACTGCTTAATGATTAATTTGCACCCAGGTTTTGATAGATTTTGAATCAGTAGAGCGGAAGCATAACATCCCAAGAATTTGCTGGGTGAGGAGAGGGGTTGCTTTTGAGGTGTGACTACACACGTGTGTGTAGTGGATTTGGCCCAGAGGATATGTGATCACCAGTACCAAGCAGCAGCAGTATTTATGAATAGTAACACACAGATTTTGAATCAGTAGAGTGGAAGCATAACATCCTATGAACTTGCTGGGTGAGGAGAGGGGTTGCTTCTGAGATGTGACTACACACGTGTGTGTAGCAGATTTGGCCCAGAGGATATGTGATCAGCAGCAGCAGTATTTATGAATAGTAACACAGGTATAAAAAGGTTGTCTGAAGTAGTTAAGTGATGGATAAATTTGAAACAGGTTTGCCACATAGTAAACTAGTAGTAAGACTGAGAAGAAAGAATACTTTCTAAAGTATTTCAAAACTGGAAAAAAGAAAAAAAAAAGCACAGCCAACTGATGAGATTCTGTTTCAGCAGAGAAGTTTTGTCCTTCAAAAGTTTCTAAAGTATTTGAAAGCCAGGAAAAAAAAAAAAAAGCACAGCCAGCTGATGAGATTGTTTCAGCAGAGAAGTTTTGTCCTTCAAAACAGCCAACGTTTTGTTCTTTCAGAAGCAGGGCTCTGACAGAGAGAACCCAAATAAGGCTTTGTACAGCCTTTCAGCCCTGGCACTGCAGCTTCCCTGGCTAGGAATGGTGGGAAGAAATCAGTTAAGCTAATGGAATTTCACTTGTCTTACCCTCCAGTGAATTATTGAGGGGAAGAAAAGAGAGAAAACACAAGACTAGATCTAAACTTTGTGGGGTTTTAGTGCTGAATTTCCATTTTACTTAATGGCAAAACTCTTCTTTTTTGGGGGTTCAGTTGCCTTAGTGAACAGTTTGTATCAGTTAAGCTAATGGAATTTCACTTGTCTTACCCTCCAGTGAATTATTGAGGGGAAGAAAAGAGAGAAAACACAAGACTAGATCTAAACTTTGTGGGGTTTTAGTGCTGAATTTCCATTTTACTTAATGGCAAAACTCTTCTTTTTTGGGGGTTCAGTTGCCTTAGTGAACAGTTTGTGCAGTAGCTCCTGTGAGCACTTGGTGCATTACTGTGGTTCTAGATCATTTTATTGAAATTAAAAATTTTATTTAAAAAAAAATTCATTTGTTATGGGAGAAGCTGTCTAGGCCTTCGTAATAAGTGTCTGAAAGTTTTTTTGCTCACTGAAAATGATGAAGGAGAATGTTATGATGCATAAGTCAGTGGGTCTCACTTTGGGCAGGAGGCATCCACAGTGGCAGCCACTGGTCCATTCTTCTGTAGAAGTTGCCATAGTAAAACTGAGATGTGCTTGTGATTAATGTGATAGGCCACCTGATGTCACTATTCCTTCATGTTAATGGCCCAAAAGCAGTCTGTTCAGCTGCTGTAAAGGAAAGACGGCTGTAAACTCTGAAAAAATTGTTTATGCTGACAGTTCCTAATATTTTCATTTAAATTTAAAATAACATAACACCAACTGAAGGAAAAATAAGACAAAAGCTGTTTTGATCTTGATGTTAAAGGACTTCTCCCCAGCAAAGTGCTCCTTCTGCTGGCACATTCGTTCTCTACGTTTTGCCAGGGCCACTTATGTTCACTGCATTCTCCCAGAACAGTTAAATATAGGGATGAGACTCATCTGTTGGGTTTCAGAGGGGTTTTGGCAGTGTTTGCTGTAGCTCATTCCAGAATATAATCACGTAGCAAAGAATATTACTGCCTTCAGAATTTACCCATGTTTTCTGTACTTTATTGTAAGTTTAGGATGGGAACCTGGTTAAGACACGTAAGAAACAGGAAATGGAGTTTCAAACTTGTCAGGGTCTCAGTTCCATGATGAAAACCAAAGCATAATCATCAAGGAGAGGTGCCTTTGTTTAATTTGAATATTCAGCTTTATAAAATGGAACAATTATCTATGACAGAAATCCACAGCTAATGTACCTTTTCACATCAACTAAGAAAATTTCAGATGTGCCAAGCACTGAAAGGGCTTGAAAGACTATTTTAAAATAATCTGTGTTTAGTGACAAGTTCTGTAAGATGGAAGGAAACCATTTAAGCTGTGAAATATTTGGAAAGTTGTTTGTTGTACCACTTAGCATGACAAGATCATGCTGCATGGGCTGTAATGATTATGATTAACACCTTTGTTATTAAAGTAGGTCTTGGTTAAGTCATACCTTTTTGTAGGGTGGATCTGAGATATGAAGGACTGCAATTTTTAACCCTTACCTCTGCTGAAATGAATTTATGCTAATGTATGAAAGCTTGACATATTTAAGCCAGTATGAATGCAGCAGAAGAGAAAGCCTTCAAAGTCATTTGAAGCCCTAGGTTTGTTTTAGACTTTTCCTCAAAAGGCCAATGTTCATATTGAAAATAATCCAGAATTAGGTCCTTTAGGAGCCCTGAGTGCCCCGAGGAGGGAAGATGTTCAGGCACTCTGTGTTGTGCTGGCTAGATGTGAGTTTCCCTGGTGGAAGCCTCGGTCAGAGGTGGAATTGCAGGTTCCTGATGCAGCACACACATCAAAGCTGAGGATTTGCAGAAGCTGGCACGCTGAGAGAGGTGATGCTGGAGCCAGCAGCCCAGTGGAAGTGCTTGTACGAGCACCGATGAGAGCAATCACACTCGGGCCACCCTTCCAGCTGGCTCCTGGAGGCAGCTGCTCCTCAGCCCTCTAGCATCTCTGGGCTTCCGTGCCTGCTTCTATACCCGTGTGCTGAACACCCCGGTCCAGCAGGTGGCTGGTATTGCTGGAGACCCAGATCCAACATGAGGATGTGTATGCTCCAAGTAGGATTTAAAAGGAATTCTCTTCAGTCCAAACTGTCACAGTGTTGAGGCAGGTGCTGTTTAACCTTGGCAGCCTCTGAACTCTGTATGTAGCTCACTTGGTCACCACAGTTTCCTCATCGCCTGAATTTGCTCTTTCCCAAAGCCTGCGATCTTCAGCTCCCCACAGTCTCTTGGAAGGATTCCTGTTGCTTCGGCCTTCCTCTCTGTAACGAGGTCAGCCTGAGCTAAAATGCTTTGTTAAAGTTTGGGTATTCGTAGCTACTCCAGCTTAAGTTTGATCTGACTTTTACATATCCCTTCCTGTACTAAAGACATAAAGCTGCTATAGGTGTCACTGACAGGGACAGGGAGAAACTCAGGGTGCTGTATTATGTACCCAAGCAATAGGTCAGTAATATCTGATGCGGTTGAGATCATACACAATTCCCTGCACTCCGACAGGATGCCAGATACATACAAGGTGATTTAATCTCAAAAACAAATTATTATAATGTAGGTTTATAATACAATTTTTTAAATATTCAAAGGTCGAGTTCAAGTGCTATACTGGCTTTTAATGCATGAGCTCATTATGCAGATAAATTAGCCATGCTAATGTATATTTGAAAGCACCTTGGATATCTTCAGGTAAGACTTTCAAATAGAAAAGGTTGTTACAGAGTATGTTGACTCTGGGGGGAGGGTGCTGCAGTTTTATTTGTAGTTAAACCAGCTTTCTAAAAAATGCAGGTGCTTCTCAGTAGCGTGTTTCAATTTGCTGGGAGACACTCTGTGGCCTCCGCGTGCACCCTGTAGTGGGAAGCACCAAAAAGGTTTCATTTATCCATAATTAAGCATGTGCCCCTCCACACTAGAGCTGAGGATAGAGCCCAGACCCACCAGCAGCCTGGGAAGTATGATCTGCGTGCTCGCTTGGGCAGTTGTAGGATCCATGAGGACTCCTCTCTGTGCCCACAGCTGTGCTTCTCACTCCAGTTCCCTGGGCAGGCCCTGGCCTCCTCAGGGAAGCATTAGCAGGCTCTGAAAATATCCAGAAAAATTTATGTGTAAATCCTATTCTATGTAGCTATTTACACTGTATACTGAAAACATCGGCAATATATGAAGAAGTAATTTTCTGTAACAAAGAAGGCTATAACTAAGCTGTTGCATGAAGTAGTTTCAGCTGAGCAGGAAAGTTGGGCAGAAAGTTTCAGCCAAGCGGAACTGAGTAATTTAAGGTCAGTTTTGTAAAAGCAAACAGATCTGCTGTAAACTCAATGTTGTTCTAAACAAATGTATGCAAGATGAAAAGGAATTTTTTCTGTGGGATGCAGAGGCTAGTAAGTGCTGACAAGTTCATCTTAGAAACAGGATTTTCAAGTCAGATAATGACTAGCTAAGATAAGAACTCAGATTACGCTTAGATGTAAATAGTAGCACAGACAAAATGCATACGTTGTAGTAGTAAAACAATAAAATAACAAGGAGCATGACCTTATTTTAAGCCTCTAAAAACTGTTAGAAGTAAGCAGGAGCAGAGGGGGTAGAGTTCTGTGCGAACAAAATCATCATCTTCATTGCATTTAGGAAGTTTAAACTACTTGGATCGATAAAATACAGATTATCGTTTAATGAGAGATAAGCTGTAAAAGTCCTACAATAATAAACCTTCATAATGAGGATGCTGTGAATCTTCCATTATGTATTACAGCTGTAAAGATCAAACAGTTTATAGTGAGCAGCATGAGCTGTTGTATTTTAGCAGAGGTTTATTATCTTGTTCTTGAGTCTCAACTCTTGCTGAACCAGCATTGGTAAATTGTGCAACGTTAATATGAGATTCCTTTTAAAAAGTCCATGAAGCAGTGATCTGAATGGTGCTCCATATCATCCCCACCTTTCTTTTTAATGTATAGTAATGTAATGTATAGTAACAGTGATGTAAACACAGGGACCAGAAGGTCAGATCTATTCGCAAAGGTGAGGAGTGGAAATGATGTTAGAGAACCAGATTGGCTTTATGTCAGAAAGTAACCTTGTCAAATTAAGACTGCATGTTTAAGTCCACATTTAGAAGTACTAAAATTAATTCCTTTATTGACAGGAAGTCACAAAGCAGCACGTACTGCGTCTGCTCTGTGGTCAATGGGCCTAGGAGAGAGCAACAACCACCTCTTGCATCAGGATTGATAATACAACCCTGCAAATAAATGATGGATGCTTCCCTGCATCTGATGGATACTAAAACCCTGCAAACAGCGACTGCAACCAGCCACCTCCTTTCCCATGCACACACCCCCACATGGCCCGTGGAAAACAGGCGTGTGGCATTAGCAGCTCTCGTGGGGCAGGCACTGGCACTAAGGATTTGCTATCTCTTGTTAAGCAAGCAGATACTCTGACAAGGTTTAGGGGACCAAGCAGCCAGCCCTGTGCCTAATAAACAACCTCTGACTCACGTGGCCTCTTGTCTACGTGAGCATCTCCCTGCAAACACTCTCTGCAGGTGACTGCCCCATCTGTGTGAGAAAGTTGGTCCAGAAAACTTTGCTTGCTTTTAGTTGTGCCAGAAACTGAGGCAAAGTGGGATGGAAATGCTGCTGGTGCCAGCAAGAACTCACGGGGAACTAAGCGTGGTGCAGGTGTCCTCAGAGAAGGGTGTGCAGGCAAGAATCTCATGGAATAGTCCATTTCCTATTCCTTTTGAAATACTTTCTGCTCCAGCCATGCGATAAGTAAACCTTGATTTGCAACACTCATTGCCAGGTTTAAAAAAGCAAACTTTGTGGCCACTCAGAGCCACTACAAATTCTGCTGGTTGAAAAAAAAAAGACTTGAAAAATGTTGAAGCAGGCAGTTATACTAGTCTTTATGCCACATCGGGCAGCATCTGTTCTCACAGCTGGAATCTCTATCAAGTGCTCTATCAAGTGCATGCCTAGTTTGATAGACACAAACGCTCTATCAAGTGCATGCCTAGTTTGATAGACACCAAATTATACCAGTGCCTGACCTGGATCAAATTCACCTTGCCAAACAAGCGTGCGCAGGCCTGACATTAGAAAATCTGGAGCCATGGCCTTATTCTATCAGTTCAGCCCCTCGGGCTGCTGGTCGGAGCACAGCTTCCAACAGGGAACCTGCCCAAGCAGGCGAGCATTTCGAAACTGAAATTGCAAGGTGGAGTTTGCATGTAATATTTTAAATCCTATAGATGGGCGCCTTGGTGACATGCAGGGAAAAGGTAATGAGTAAAATCAATCAAGAAATTGGGTTCTTTTCAGCTGCCTCTTGGCCCTTTTCTTCTTTTTTTTGTGTTTTTTGGTGCTTTCCCAGCTCCCTCTGATTCACGCAGCTGAGATGAGATTGTTGCTGCTGGGGAATGGCAGGAAGAGCTGTGACTGTCACCAGCAGCCAGGCAGGAGCCGTCCCTGCGGAAGGACGGCTGCATGCAAACAGCTCAACAGACACCACCCTACGCCGGCTGTTGGCAAAGAGGCACCCGGCAGTTCAGGCAACCACAACAAACAGCCAGTGGGTTTGCACTGGAGGGAGGGGGAAAGGGTGGCCATAAACAAAAACACACCCAGGGTAAGAGTTCCTCCTTCCGCAGCCTGATGTTGGGTTCCTTGATGTCCACAAATACTTTGGCTGTACGTGTGAAGTCTTCTACTGTAATTTAGTGTAACCATAGCTATGCTGGCCTGCTTATCCACTGAGCTTTCTACTGCAATGGGTGCACGTACAGTGCAAAATACTGCCTTTATTTCCCTACGCTATAGACTGCCAGCTTTGAAACAAAACTATTATCTTCATAAATAGCTTAATAATTGATGTAACTAAAATACTGTGTTTCTCCCTTCTGTTCCTAAACATCAATAAATGGAATACACATACTGAGCATGAAAGCTACTAGCAGCACATGTAAGATATTTACTACTTTAGCCATTATGTTACTTTAATAAAACATACAGTTGGATTCTAATCTGAAAGCATTAAATAGAAGATTTTTCTACAGACTTAGAGATTACTTGGGTACTGTCAAAAGAGTTTTAAATTTAAACTCAGCTGTCCTTATTTTCCCAAATAAACCATTTTCATGTCCTATCTTATTTTCTGCTAATTATAAATTGGGAAAGTAACAGAATCTCATGTTGAGATGACAAATGACATAATTAGTGTCTTCACTTCGTTTTATCACGCTCTATGACCAAATCTCATTTCATAAGTCATTTGAGTGCCACTTACTAATAACATCCTGTTCTCTGGAAGGAGAGGACGTTCTAGGAGCATCTCTGTGCTGGCAAGATGTAAGAAAACTCACTTCAGCGTGGGTGGGAGCAAAGTTGCATTTATTTATTCTGTACGTGCCTTCCTACTACTCCACTCTTCTCCTGGTACTTCATCCCTGGCCACAACTGACTATGTAGTTTCATGTTCTATGTACGGACATGCACGCTTTACTAGTCTTCTAGAAGTAAAACAAAAATTATTTTTATTTTTTAAATTCCAAGAAAATGAGAATTTTATTATAAATTTTCATGGAAGTAAATCCCCACATTTTTAATAAATCAAAGGCATTATTTGCATAATGATGATGAACCACTCAAGTATTTAATTGTATTAAATAACCGAGGTAACTAAATAAATAATAAAACCATTCTATAAATACATACATACCAAGCTTAGAGAAGCAGCTTATAGTTGTACATAGTATTGTGCAAAATCTTTTGTGTACACATCTCTCCCTTCAGCAAAGCCATGGCAGACAAGAACAAACATATGCCATACAATTTCTCAAGATGAAAACTCTCCATATCCAAGCAGCTCTCCCTGGAATAACAAAGTATGCAGCATAGTTGTTTCTGTACCAAACCCAGCTTTGTAACTCCAGCCAGTCCTTAAAATTGAAAGCTCTTTAAGAAGCAGTCAAATGATAAAAACAAGGAGTGATTGAAATTGCTTTGGCAAAGTAATTTGCTGTTAGAGTCCCAGAATACAGAAGAATATTAACAGATATTGCAGAATAAAACAGTGTTTGCGCACACCCTGAACCTGTTTCTAAACAAAACTGGAGTGCTAAGGAAAACACTTCTTTGACCCAAAAGTCAGTGTCAGGTTGCCATGTTATTTCACGACAGAAACAGTATTTTCATGTTGGTTTCCAAATAAGTGCAAGAAGAACTGGAAAGCCGTGCTAATGTGGACAGGGACAAAGATGTAAGTGGTGTATAACACCGTAACTAACATCGTAACGTTGAAAGTGTAGAAGAGCACTTTTTCCCAGGGCTCCATGAGGTAGCTGCAGGTGATTAGTTCAAACTGACAGTACAGCCAATAGAGATAATTCTTCATGCTCTTAATATCCATCTTCAATTTTGTGCCGCTTCTGAAAGCCTTCCCTATTACAATAAAGGATAATTAGTAGAAACAGAAACCTTACCCAAAAAAAAAAGGCAAAAAATATATAAAAAATCATATGGGCAGCAACTCCATGCTACTCAGTTTGCTCATACGGACCATTTCTAATAAATGATGTTTTAAGAAGATAAAAGATCTAAAATTCCAAGATTAAAAATACGTTTTAAAGCATAAACCATGATCAGATAGTCACAGACTGGCATGAGTCATTCTTTTACCCCGTGCTGTAAAAGGCTTCATTTGTATTCTTTTTTCCTTTTCTACCTTCAGTTCTGAACACCACAGTCCAATTTAGACCCCTGAGTACCGGGCACCATTATTTACCAAGGAGGTTCCACAATATCTCTTTTTTCCAGAAATGGGTTACCCAATAATTGTTGCAATTCTGTTCTCCGAGCCAAATTCTCCTTTCATAACTTTGCCTTGTACCGTATTTTTTAAGACTCTGTTGAAATGGCCTAATTCAAAAAGCACTTCAAACCTTCTCTCCTTCACCACTCATGGATTTTGACGTGGAACTTGGCTAGAAGCCTGATTTCTGCTACCCAGACTGAATTTTTACGTCTTATGCTTCAACTGCTGCTGGAATGCAAACTGGGACTATACAGAATACCACATATACAGAAATACAATAAAAGGAAACTATATAAAGATTATCCAGCTTCTTCTGCAACAATGAGACAATCAATATATCACCAGAATAGAAATAATAATATAAATATAAATTTATTTTAAAGCTTTGTGTTCAAATTAATGCTAATAATTATTGAGCGTTACATTACCAGAATACAGAACTGGAGAGGTGAAGGGAAAACAGGACTATTTCACTTACTGCTGCTTCCTGTCATTTGGTAAGTAAGAGGAGACAAAACAAAAACTGTGATTCCCCTCTTTTTACTTGCAAAATTAAGAATTCTGGTGGTGTCAAGAGATGTGGAAAAAAACTTATTCTACAGAAATTAAATACAACTTCATAGAACTTTTATCCTAACAAAAGCCACTTCCTAAAGTTTTTAGGAAAACTTAGCCTCACCTTTTCCATTTTACTTCCATAACTTCCCCACCTCTTTTCTACCTGGCAGGTGAGATAAACTAGATAAAGTTTCTGTAGTTAAGAATTATTACTAACTACTTTTACCTTACTATATCCACCACATTTCTGTACATTACATGCAGTTTTTACTAAATGTTATACTTAAGCCTCTTATCATTAAATGTATTGCCCAGCTACTTTGAGGAAAGACTTTTCTTACAACAAACTGATTTTGTAAAAAGTAGAACTTACCTCTTCACCTCTCCCTGATGACAAAACGTCCAGGTGAGAGATGCTTCCTAACACTTCTGCCTTTTGCAGCTGAACAGCTCCTATACGGATTGAGAGGCAGAAACAATTAGCTTTGATCCTCAATTACAGAGTGTGGCCTCTATACCCCGCCCTTCCTCACTATTGCTAAAAACTCCTCTGGCCAAAGCTCTCTGCATTATGCAACAAGGACAACCATCGTCTGGCTGGGTACTGCGCTCTCATCACAGCATTCATTTGATAATTTGTACAAAGTCAGAGTTGAAGAACTGCAGGTAAGGAGGAACATACAAGGCTGAAATACTGTTTAGGAAAATCAGCAAAAAATGTTTATAATTACTGCCTTCCCTAACTTCAAATCTCAAAAAGTATCTCTACTTCTGCGGGACTCTACCATGCAGGGTGACAAAGTTCCTACAAGGTGCAAATTAATGTCCCTGCAAAAACATGGTGTCAGAGTTAAGTGGCCACAAAAATGCAGCTCAATTAATATGTTGCAAGAAAAGTCTCCAGTGAAGCCACCACCTCCTGCAACCTTTGATTAATACCACTTTCAAACAGCCCCCAGCCTTCTCTACACCAGTATGTGCCAGCCCCATATGGGCACCTCAGTCATCCTCATCCAGGAACCCCGGGGTGGGCAGAACACACAGGCAAGATTTCTGCAAGGAAAAAATAGTGAGGTTTTTCTGAAAAATGCTACAAAATAAAACTCAGCCACAAATGCTTGAGGCCTTTTAATGATCTAATTGGACAAGTCAATTAGGTAGAAATCTGCATAATACATTATGTTCTAAACTATCTGCCTGCAGTCAAATCATTTCCAAATATGAATCAGCTTCATTTTGGGAGAATATGCCACAAGCAATGTCTAAGGCATCTGAGCCTCACCTTCTTTCATCCCTTCCTTACCAAACACAGCCTCAGCTGACCTACTCCCGCAACCTTTTCTGCCCACGGTTTTCAACAAAATAAAGTTTTCCCTTTAAAAACTGTCCACTTTCCATAGACAATTTGGAAACGGTAAACCAATGCCCCTGGCAGCAGTAGTCCATGCCCTATTTTTCTCCTGCAGAGTGAGGGTCTGCCACAGGTCTCCATCTCCTGAGCTGGATGAACTACTACCTCGTGGAAGATATAATCTAGGTTGGGGTCTAGAGAATGGAATCATCAAATGTGAAATATAATTGCCCTGGTGTAGTGCTGCAGGATTCTTATCTCAAGAGTTTCCACTTACAACCAAACTTTCTCAGGCACAGATTTCATGGAGGGCTGGGATGGGACTAAGAGTTTTTTAGGTTTCTTTTTTTCCATGAAAATGTTGGTGAAAAAAGGCATATAAAAATAATGCTATTGATTTTATACAAAGGAGAAAAACATTTGACTACCACAGTGCCCACGTTCTTGGCAGGCCAGCATCCCTGCTTTATGTCACTCACCTTCCCTATGAGGTGGATCAGCCTCTTCTGAATCCTTCAGCAAGATGCAGGGGCAGAGCATCGATTACCAGGGCAGCCGAAGGCAGGGCTGTCACCTCCCTGCTCTCTCAATCCTCTCCAAAAAACATTTGCATAAAAGCCAGGAAAACTCTGCCATTCCCAAGTGCAATACTGTACGGATGTTTCCATTCTTTTCAACAGTTCTCCACTAGTTCTTTCAATAACATATTCCCCGAGCTGAAACAATGTAGGAAGTGAGACTTGCCTGGGTTTGCTTTAGTTCTAACAGCTTCAAAAAGTTTTAGCTGGCAGCTGAGAGCCATTGTGAAAGAGAGAGGTGGCAGTGCAGAAGATCAGGCGGCTTCAGAGCAATAAAGCGTTGGGGTAAGCAGAATCCATTCCAACGTGATGCCGTAAGCAGATCTTGGGAGGGTGGTATGTAAAGCCCCCAGGCACCCTCTCCTCCTCGCTTCCCGAGCAGCCACTCCTGCTGCTTTTCCCAGCTTCTACCCCAAGGGGGAAAAAGAACTCACTAATACCTTTCACAATTCATAATCAGATGTGTATAGCTTCAATCAGAATATAAAATTTGCTTGAAAAGCCTACCTTTTAAGGCAGTTTTAGCCTATGTGCTTTAAGATACTTTTCCCCGTACACAAACAGAAATAGCCTTCAGATTAATAAACTAAAACCAAAACAAAAACAAAAAACCCAAACAACAAAAACCCTACGACAGCAACGTCAAAATACCAGCAAAAACATAACTGCTATATTGGGTAAGACGCTGTGATGGGTGACTGCAGATGCATGGAAAAAGCATTATTTTGTAAGCTCTTACTCTGAGGAGCAGAAAGAGACTCTCCTGGGTAGCAAGCTGTCCCAGAGGGGCTGGTCCCTTCTTTTCAGGTCTCTTGATCGTGTTGCCCACACAATTAAATTTCAAAACCTCTTTTTACTGCTTCTCGCTGTGGTTTCCAGCCAAACACACAGCCATATAAAAGTCATACAGTGACACAGCAATAATTTTTCCTAGCAAGGGAAACATGAATTAAAAAACACAAACCAGAAACACTCAAATTACCACTGCACTAAAGGAAATCACCAGCCTCCCTTCTTTAAGTTCAGTGAGGTTCCCCAAATGGAAAAGCAGCAACTTCTTGTTTATACAGAATTTAGCAGATTAGCTCCATAAACAGAAGTAAGGGTTTTTTTCCTATTATTTCATGCCTTAGAATGGTAAAATGCACACACAGCCATATAAAAGTCATACAGTGACACAGCAATAATTTTTCCTAGCAAGGGAAACATGAATTAAAAAACACAAACCAGAAACACTCAAATTACCACTGCACTAAAGGAAATCACCAGCCTCCCTTCTTTAAGTTCAGTGAGGTTCCCCAAATGGAAAAGCAGCAACTTCTTGTTTATACAGAATTTAGCAGATTAGCTCCATAAACAGAAGTAAGGGTTTTTTTCCTATTATTTCATGCCTTAGAATGGTATCCTCTGATGTCTAATAAGGTATAAACCCATACTGAGGCATTTGCTCTGCATTTGGCTTCAGAACGGCTGTCTTCTGTGTGGCTTCTCTGCTGTCTAGTACAGAGTATGCAATAATTTTGCTTTTCTCTTCCTGATCATCTCTTTTGACAAAATTTATATCTTTAATTTCTTAGTTCTTTACCCAATTTAACTGAAATGGACCATGGGTTAAAAAGTATTGTATGTGGCAGTAGAATGAGATAGAGGTAATGAAGGAAAATAAACCTCATTTCTGTAGAAGACTTAGCAAAAAAATGCCTGAAATATCTCTGCCTCACACCTATACACTGTGGTAAGCATTTATCCGTCTACTTAAAATTTAGATGCTGGAAAACAATCAAAGCAAGAAAGTCAAGGTCAGGACAGCCTTCTAATCTACCCCATCCGTCTATCCACACAAAGCAAGGCACAGACAAGTTTGTTTTGTCGTCATAGTACACTTCAGTGTGTTTCATCCCCTTTGGCTCCAGCACCGCTTGGAAAGAATGGAAAGAAGCAACGTCACCGATGAATTATTAACATTCTGGATAACGTGGTTCTGCTGGGCTCAGCAGCCTCTGCCTGCCCTCTCCCTCGTGCTGGCAGGGAGGGTACATCAAGGAACTAGTTAGGCCTGGCAGGATGAAGACGTGCCAGCGTCCTCTGCCTGCGCAGAACCTGACCATACAA